ACCTGTGAGTAGAGCCAGCCACCTGGAAGGGGCAGCAGTCTGTGTGGAGGGCTGACGACCCCAGGAACCCTCGACTGAGGCCTTGTGATGGCTGCCGGTGGGCGCCGTCCTCCCTCCCTCCCCACTCCCTTCCTGCCTCTACATGAGGGAGGACAGCTCTCATTCTGTGAGGCCTTTTCTTCCTTGTGGCATTCGGCTGAGATGTACAGGAAGTAAAGAAACTGACACCAGAGTGCTGTGCATTGGCCTTCTCTCTGCATGTGTGAGACTGAAGAACTTCTTGCCAAGGAGTAAAGGAATGAGCGTTTGATGGACCCTGGCTCCTTTTGCAGACCCTCTCCAGCCCTGTAGCCCCGGGCGTGGTCGCTGACTGTGGCGCCATGGAGGTGTGCACATTGGCCTCCGTGTGTCCGCCTCCAGGCCGGAGGTCAGGTTCACGCCTCAGACAATCACCGGTGTTGCAAGTCGTGGGCACCCAGTGACGCTGTGGTGCTGCCCATGGCTGCCTCCAGGGGGCGCACTTCCGTGGTGGTGGCACGGTGACACGTCCCCCTTCGGCCCCTCACTGCACAGGCATGCATGTCCCGCCCGCTGCTGCTCCCTTTCATCACGGCCACAGCTCCTGGTCCTGACATCGTCCCGGTGCCTTCAGAATCTGCATGGACCGTGAACCCCTGCCCGGCGCTTTCCTGAGGTCCGCTCCCCAGGGTGGGGGAGAAGGGGCGGCGTAGGCTTCCGACGCATCCCCACTGGGGCACTCACTTCTGCGCTGACCACCAGTGTTGCAGCCAGTGGCAGGGCCTATGGGCCTGGGTGCGTGTGCCCGCACGTCTTCTGCACCCGGGGGGAGCTGAAGAGCGGACCGGACTCCACGGTCCTGTGGTGGCGGCTTTGGGTTTCTTCCCCCAGTGCCTCCCTTCCCTTCGGCGAGTGACAGTGGCACAAGTAGATCCACTCACTGAGCTGTGGCGTTTGCTGGCATCTCTCACGCTGTGATTCAACCCTGGGCCTTCTGATTCCAGAGCTCAGGGAGGTTGGTCCTGGGGCTCCCACTGGTGGCCCCTCAGGACTGATGTTGCAGCCAGGATAACTCAGTGTCATCGCGTTTTTCTTTTTCTTTTTTTTTTTTTTTTTTTGAGTTGGAGTCTCACTCTGTCGCCCAGACTGGAGTACAGTGGCCGCTCCCGGCCACCGCAGCCTCAACCTGCTGGGCCCGGTGACTCTTCCGCCTCCGACTTCCGAGTAGCTGGAATTACAGGTGCGCGCTACCATGCCCGGCTAATTTTTGATTTATTGTAGAGATGAGGTCTCGCCAAGTTGCCCAGGCGGGTCTCGAACCCGCAGGCTCAGGCAATCCACTCACCTCAGCCTCCCAAGGTGTGGGATTACAGGCTGAGCCACCGAGCCCAGCTTGTCATGTTTTTCTACTTGTCTTTGTTTCCCACTAAAACATAGAATTACTGGGAGTGGGGCCTCTTTTTGATAGAAAAGCTGCCCACCTGCAGTTTTGTTTTTCACTTGGGAAAAGATTAGTAGAAAATTTTGTGAATGACTTTGATGATAGACTCCGTTTACAAACATGGAAGAAGCTGCAGCATTCGAGAGCCATAGTTCTGCAGACCCCAGCTTGGTGCCAGCTTCAGATGTCTGCGGTTGCTGAGAGCTCTGAGCAAGCACTCCTGGGGGAGCTGGCTGATCTCACGGTCTGAGAGTGTTGCCCTCCAATGCTGTTCATTGGAAAACAAAAGCATCCGCTTCCAGTGCGAAAACCTGGCGGTACCAGGTTCTAGGGTTTGCCATCAGCAGCAAGGGCCCCATCACACGTGGGGGGTTACACTGAGGAGGAGGACACAGTGGCACAGCTGGTGGCACGCAGTGGCACAGCGTTCTCACAGATTGTCCAGCCTGGAGGTCTGGTCATCAGGAAGCAGTCAGGTGGATCCAGACCAAAGGGTGTTTCCAAAACGTGTGACTTAGACTCTTTTCTCCTTTTTTTTCATTTTGAGTTGGAATCTCACTCTGCCACCCAGACTGGAGTGCAGTGTCACGCTCATGGCCACCCCAGCATCGACCCACTGGGCTCCAGTAATTCTTCCGCCTCAGACTTCCAAGTAGCTGGAGCTGCAGGCGTGTGCTACCATGCCCAGTTCATTTTTGATTTTTTTATTGTAGAGATGAGGCTCACCAAGTTGCCCGGGGTGGTCTCAAACCTGCGGTCTCAGGCAATCCACTTGGGGAGGCAGAGGCAAGAGGTTCGAGACCCGCCTGGGCAACTTGGCAAGACCTCATCTCTACAATAAATCAAAAAATCAGCCGGATGTGGTAGCATGTGCCTGGAGTTCCAGCTATTAATCCTTGGAAGGCGGAAGTGGAAAGATCACCTGAGCCCAGCAGGTTGAGGCGGCAGTGGCTGTGATTGTGCCACTGCAGTCCAGCCTGGGCAACAGAGTGAGACTCTGGCTCCAAAAAAAACCGAAAGCAGTTGGAAGCAGAGATAACAATAGGTGTTTGCTTCCTTGTCACCAGGACTGGCTGTTGGATGCAGTGGCTCGAGGCCACCTCCTTGATTGACTGGTTGTGTTTGCCGGGGCCTGGGACGCAGGAGTGTGAGAGACCTCCCCGGACTTGAACATTTGCACCACGGCAGCCCAGCTGATCCCAGCTCTTAGCAGTCACTGCCTGATCCACCCAGCTTTGTCTCTGGACATGTCTCCCTCTCAGAGCGAGGCCAGCTGTCCAGGGCCTCCTTCAGTTGGCATCTCGGAACCCAGTGGGCTTTAGGGCGGGTGGGAGGGGCCTTTCTCCTGGGAGAGGCCTGTCTGTAACGTTCACCAGAGTCTGAGCAGTTTTAGACGCAAGATGGCTGAGAGCCCCGTGCCTTTGCTGCGTCCTGTGACCTGCGGCCACCATGTCTTTGCGTCTGCCTGGGTCGGGGGCCCCGTCTCCTGCGGCCGTGCTTCCCAGCCCCTGCTCTGCCCGTGTGACGGCACCATGGCGTGTGCTCCTCTCGAGCCCCTTTGCGACCCCCCTGCACTCCCGGGGCAGATGCCGTTGCCCTGTCATCAAGAGCAGGCCGTTGTCCTCTCTGCTGAGGGCGAGAGGAGTTGTGATCGCGGTGCCTGCTCAGCAGACCCTGCCAAGGGGATGGCTGGCGTAACCAAGCACTTCCTTCCCGGCAGCTTTCCACCGAAGCCGCCGGTGCCTCGTTAGTGCCCTCGGAACGAAGCTGCCCGGCTGGGCCCTTGGCTCCTGTGCTGCCTCTGGAGGAGTCTGCGCACCGACTCCTGCGCCTGCTCGTACCAGGCGTGATTATAAAGCAATGAGACTGATTGTCATGTGTCGCTTGTGGGATCCGTCTCAGTTACTTTATAGCCATACCTGGTACCTCACGCCTCAGACCATGGCCTGTCGACAGCGTCTTAGGAGCACGAGCACGAGCCTTCCACGAGGACATTTCGAGTGGTCGAGCGTTGTTCTACGGCTTTCTCTAACTTACGGCTAGAACTCTTCCTTCGGAAAGGCGGTTCAATGTTAACTTTTTGCTTGCTTTCGCTTTGCAGTCCTTTGGGGTATGGATTTTAATCCGTATTCTGGTAAGCTGCTGTTCTGATAAAATGGTTGGAAAGATTATGAATAAGACAATGGAAAGGTATACGTTCCATTGGGTTCCGTTTTCCATAAAACGCTTTTATTGTTGAATTTCATTTCGGTTGCATGTAGTCTTCTGTGACCACCTGTGACACAAAAATGCTTCTTTTAAGGCTAAATGTGATAAATGAAATATGTAAAACCAAACATTTAGTTTGTATTATTTTTTGAAGGGGCATTTGATGGGCATAGTGTAGGGATTTTGCTTGTTTTGTTTTGGTGGCTTACATGTGTATACACAAACCTTATCCAAATTCATTTAAGTGGTATCTTCTCTTTCCCACAATAAAGTGTCTGTTTTATAAAACATTCATAAAATGTGTGTCCCCGACTCTTGCGGGCAGGCTCTTGGAGGAAAGCAGGTTTTAGAGTGACTTGCTGACGCAGCGTCAGCTTGTGGAGGGGCGTGCCTGGTAGCGGGATGGGCCTGAGGTGTTGCTGAACGTGCGGGCGCTCTTCCCTGTGCAGGGGGAGGGCGAGGGGTGCTCACTGGCCTCGGTGCACCCCCACTTCTGGAAATCATGCTTAGCAGGCGGCTGAGACATCTCTCATGAACCCACATCACTTGTGGCTGGGGCAGACCCTGGGTGGCTCTTCGAAGCTGGAGGTATCATGACGCCAAGCCAGTCCAGGGTGTTGACACTTGGCCCTGTCCCGGGAAGGGTTTGATTTCCAGAGGGGTTCTGGGCTCATCTACAGAGGATCCTTACTGCGGCCGTCTGGACGTAAGACCCAGGTTAGCTCCAGATGTCACTAGTGAGCGATACCACTTGTGGCACTTGCGTGCAGCACTGTCACCGGGTGTGTCCCGAATCTCCATGAGATTACGAAGCTCTGCGTCCTGAACTCTTTCTGGTCTCTGTGCTCATTCTATACCCAGCAGGTACTCCGTGGCTGTCCCTCAGCTGATTAGCGCCAGAAGCACCCATTTGTACTAAGCATAATGGAACTTTCCCTCCTTTTCTTAAGGAATTGGGGCTTTCTGAAGATCATTTTATAAAAGAAAATGTTTTACAATGTAAACCTGCCGTGCTCTTATTGCATTTCTGTTGCCGTATAATGTTACATTGCCGTCTGTTGTCACATTTGGCTGGTTTAACAATCTTTTTTAAAAATGTAGTTGTAGGATAAGTTGATGGTTCTTAAGATCGCCTCACGCCTTCCATCCATTCAGTCTGAATTTCTGCCCACTTGGTGCCAGCACACACAGCCACAGCCTCACCTTGGAAGTGGCATCTGTTACACCCTTCCCTCTGCGAGCGTTGCAGCGGTCCCAGTAGCATATTTAACTGTTTGCTATTCCTATACGTTTCAAATGTCCCTTGAGAATATGTATTTGTTTTATGTTGCAGGCACTGGAGATATCATTGCTGTCATGATAACAGAATTGAGGGGTAAGGACATTCTGAGTTACCTGGAGAAAAACATCTCCGTGCAGATGACCATCGCTGTGGGCACGCGGTCGCTGCCCAAGAACCTGAGCCCCAGCTCCCTCGTCTTCGTGTCTGTGTCCTTCATTGCTCTGATGATTATTTCCTCGGCATGGCTCATCTTCTACTTCATTCAGAAGATCAGGTACACCAATGCACGTGACAGGAACCAGGTGAGCCCGAGCCTGGGGACTGGCCCTCTCAGCCGTGGGCCTAGAAATCCCTTAGTCGCTTAGTATGTTGACACATGTCCACGCAAGCCGCTTAAGGATTCTCTAAATACCTCGAAGGGGAAATGATGAAACTTACCGTGATGACTTAGAATATTCTAATTAGGTAGATAGCTTAATATTGCAATATTATCTAGGTAATTCTGTTAATTTGAGAAATATCACAAAGTTCATTTTAGACTACTAACTTGAGATGTCTTTGGCAAGGGGAGCTGAGAGCGGGGTTAGGGAGGCTTTACTCTGTCCTCTTTTCCGTGTGAATTTTTTCCCATGTGCCTTCTGAACTATGTATTATCTACTGGGGGCCCCCCAAAAAAACAGGATTATCTTTGAGGGTGGCCCCCTTGTGTGCAGGATTCCCCCACTGGACGAGTGTTCCAGGAACCCCTCGGCATCAGTGTGCCAGCTAGCATTGTTGTTGAAAGGCTGCATTCGGCTTCAGTGACATTTTTTTTGGAGATTCTCTCAACACATTTGCCCATTTCATGGTGAGTGATGTATACCAACAACCTGCCCACACCACACTGAGCGCTCAGCAGGTTTTGACCAAAAACGACTTGGCCCCTGTGCCCCACCCTCCCTTCTGACCCAGTGTCACCCTGAGCGACTTTTTTCCCCCGAATGGAAAAAGCCCTCAAAGAGAAACATTTTGCCAGTGTGGCAGAGGCAAAACAAAATCAGAAGCAGCACTAAAAGGTATCACAATTGACAAGTTCAAAAACCATTTGGAGCAGTGGAAAAGGCGTCTTGATAGATGTATTGCATCAAATGGACAGTACTTTGAAGGCGACTGCAGTTTAAACACGTAAGAATAAATACACAATTTTTTATAACTAAATTCTGGTTTCTTGGGTCCCCCCTTGTATTCTGAAAAAAAATCAATTAAAAAAGTCTCCGTCATGGTGGATCATGGTGGTTTATGCCTGTATTCCAGCGCTTTGAGAGGCTGGGGCAGGAGGAGCGCTTGAGGCTAGGCGTTGGAGACCAGCCTGGACAACATCGTGAGACTTGGCTTCTATTAAAAAAAGGATCTCTGTCATATCTAAGCTCAGACATGGGAGTGAGAGCGAGGTGGGTAGGACCAGTAGAAGACATCTCTCTTGCTAGGAATCCTAGACTGTCTCATTTCACAGATCAGCACATCTGAGTACTTGGTGAGCTTTAACTGACCAACTGTAGCTGCAGGAGAGGCAGCACGCTGCCCTGAGAGGGGGACCTGGGAGGACAGTTCCCTCCACTTGTTTTTTAGCTCGCGTGATATGTTGTCGACAGAACGTCCCCATAGGAGCTGTGGACTCACGAGTGGACCTTTTCTTTAGAAGAGTGAGAAGCAGCTGCTCAGAGAGCAGAGTGAAACCAGGTTCCTCGTGACCCACCCTCCCCTGACATAGGCCTCACAGAGCCCTGGGAGGAGCTGGGCCCTGACCTCCCTCGTTCCAGGGAAGAAGCACAGGCCTTGGTGGGGACAGGCCCCCTTCCAAGCAGTTGACCACGACCCTCTCGGACCGTGTGTAGCTTGCCAGCTCCTTTCTTTGTCTGAAAACAGGCAGAAGCTGCCCAAGAATGACAAGGAAATGAGTGTTTATGTGCCAGGCTGTCTGCAGTGCTCTGCGTACCTTGACTTTTTTTATTCTGATAGCTTTTATTCTTTATAACTTCAGACTCTCAGAAGGGTTCATGAGCAATGCAAAGTGCCCCCTTGGCTCAGAGTCTGCAGCTGCTGGCGTCTGACGCTGTTGCCTTTCCTGTGTGTGTCTATGTTTTTTGGGGGTTTTTTTTGAGTTGGAGTCTCACTCTGTCGCCCAGACTGGAGTGCAATGGCCGCTCCTGGCCACCACAGCCTCAACCTGCTGGGCTCCAGCGATCCTTCCACCTCAG